GGTGTCTCATCATGGTGTTATACTGAGGTCTTGCTGTATATGCCAGGAGGTCCTTTATGGGAGGGACTAGAGGAGGATCCAGGTTTTGTGAGGCCTGAAGCCTAAACAATTTGTTGGGCTGTTTAAGGAGGGGGAGACCTAAACAATGAGAAATACAAATTAAAAACATGAAATATAATGAGAAAGGAAATTAGATTATTAATTTTTAAAAGGCCAATCATAAAATCTAGAAAAATAATATTGTGATTAATTGAGTGACATACTTTTTCTACACTTTTTAGTTGCATAGCCTTTGATTACCTCTTTATATGACAGCTGTTTGGCACTATCACTTTCTGGTATAGACAATAGAAAGATTGTTGTCTCTTATGGCAATTTCAACAGAACTGAATTTTTTATTATTGCTGGTTGTGATGTGTAAAGCATGCAACTTTACACACACACACACACACAGAATATAAACACATAGTGTACATAGCCTGCAAACATAAAAATTCCAATTCTGTTTTCCATGATTCCCATAAAAAAAAAACTGTGGAGCATTTATCATTTTATATGCTGAATTGAATATACTCTTTTCAGGAGAGAATCTATGTTTTGACTAGGTGTCAGAATTGAATCTTACTTGAAACTTTACATATCTGATGATTGAAAAAAATCCAACTACATTCTGGCTTTTGCACTACCCATATATTTCTGGTGCTGGCCATCGTACGACACGTTTATATCACACTGTGTGCTTAGGTCCTGTACCTTCATGACACTCTGCTTGGTGAGTTCACACAAAGGATAGAAGAGATTCCTACACTAGGAGGACTAGAAATAATGTACCTCTACAGGGAATTGTCTGCATATGATATAAATACTACTGCAACCAAACCATAGAAACCCCCAGTTTACCTTCCTGTTAGTTAGACCTCCAAAATTAATGTAAATCCTCCAAAGCCACCCAACAAAAGGGGAGTTTGAAAAATACAAGGTCTTAACTAGTTGTAATTAAAATGTCTTTTAGCCAATTTTATAAAAATGGATGATACTGTTAATGCATTACTAGAGTGCCTCCCAGAGTCATGAAAGAGGCCTGACCAAATAGAGAACTTAAAACTTCAACTTCATTGCTCAGAGGGTTTTCTGCTGGGGAGGATCAAAAAGAAACACAGGTTGGAGATTATCTTTCTTCTGAGGTTTTTATTATCTCAACATGTTTCAGTTTTGCCTAGAAAAATTAATGTTGTCAGCATGTCTAAATTTTCCTTTTCTGTGCATTATTAACAGACATATCCATTTCCTTATGTTTAGTTGGCATAGCTTCCTGTTGTAACCATTTGTATGAAATTACTCGCTCCCTTCCCTGTTCTTTTTTTCCTTCTCTTCTGAGCTGTAAACTGGAGGATTTTGTTGTATGTGGCTCATTAAATCAGGTAGGTGCTGTGGTGGTGATGCAAGAGCCCTTATGACATACAGAGTAGGCTACTACACCATGCATGAGGGATCTGAATTCTAATTTTCACTCAGCTTTTAATTTGTTGTGTGCCTTGAAAGAGACTTGCTTATGCTTCCTGTCTTTGAGTACTTAAATTTGTCATTTAACACAGTAAACAAAATCTGTGGTTCCTAGGAGTCCAAGTGTTCTTCCAAGCCCTCAGAGAAGCTCTACTTTTTGGCTGTTGAGTATTCTAGAATTTGTTTCAAGCCTTTTGTATTGAAATGGTCATACTATTAAAAAAAATTACCAAAGCCCCCCCCCCTTTTTTTAAGAGGAGTAGACCCAAATGCTTGGAATATGTAGGGATTTTTTTTTTTAAGCAATTCTGATTCCATGGTAGAGCTCAGAATTTGTATTTATCAGAAGTTTAGAATTTGTATTTATCAGAAGTTTACTTTGGAGCCTGATGCATAGTCAGGGTTGAGAGATATTATTCTGGACCAGTGGTGTGCAACCTTGTCTATACTTTAAGATTACATGGGATCCTTCAAAAATGCTGATGCCTGGATTCTACTTTTGTGATTATTACTGAATCAACCTGAGCATACAGGTTTTTAAAATCTCCACAGCTGTCTTTGATGCACACCTGGGATTGAGAAACCCTAATAGAGACACGATCATTGCATTCTGTCAAGGTCTAACAATCTTTATAAAAAAAAAATGACAAGTTTGATATCCATATCCCTTGTCTCTTTATAAGTGTTTATTGAACATGTCATTTCCTCTTTATAGCTAAATTATGTAATTCCCATATTGGTTGGGGCAAATGTCAAAGAAAGAGCACCATGTTATTGTGGGGGGGGGTGGGCGACATCTCGAGGGTCTACACCCTCATTGGTGAAGAATTTCTCATTGTTCATCATCCCTGCAAGAGTCCAATACTGTTATTCTTGCCCTTGCCCTACCACACAGGCCCTGTGTCCATGCACAAGAGGGTCAACTCTAGTCTTATATCAGCTCATTCATAAAATTAGTTCATTGGGATTAAGGGACCTTACAGATAGGATTTTAAAATTCCATACTCATTTCTTTAACTTACAGAATATGTTTTATATGGAAAAGAAAGGCCTAATTTCCGTCCAACTTATAAGACCCCTTTTTCCCCCTTCCAATTGATCTTGATGTATTAAAAAAAAGCCAGTGAGCGAAGACTTTGTTGTGTTTCCATGTTGTTACAGCCCAGGCCTGATCTACAATATTCTAAGAAGCTGAGTTATGAAATGGAGGTCCTCTTGTAGCATGAAGTTCAGTGCTTACTTGGGAACCCAGTACTTGGGGAGCCTAAAGTGAAAATGTGCAAGGATACTAAAAATGAATTCTCATGTGGTGTTTGGCTTACACCTCCATACACCCCCATACAGAAGAAGCTTTTATAGTAGACAGAAAATCATTCATTCATTCATCATCTGTGTATTTGGTTTTTACTCATTCATGCCATACATGTATATTCAAATAAATACTCACGTGAAGACTTGATTATGGTACTAGGGTAGTATCCAGAACAAAACATATGTCATGTAGAACTTCACAGCATTCCCACTGACCATAAAAAAGAATTTGTTGGGATTTTCAATGGAATTCCACTTATGTCCAAAGGCCTTGAGTTCTCAAGGGGATTTTTAGATTTTTTGCATCCATTTTAATAATTATCTAAAAACTAAAATAATCATATTCCAACCCATCTGGAAGATGACCTTATAGCCAAAGATGTGATTTTAGGACTCATATTTTGTTTATCATCATGGTCACTTTGGCACCACATGTAACAAATTTAATTGCTATTTTTTAAAAGATTTTATTTATTTGAGAGAGAGAGCAAGCAGGAAGGAGGAAGAGGAAAGAGAGAATTTGAAGCCAACTCCTTGCTGAGCGCAGAGCTTCCTATGGAACTCGATCTCAGGACAGTGAGATTGGGACCTGAGCCAAAACCAAGAGTTAGAGGCTTACATGACTGAGCTACCCAGGTACCCCACAAATTAATTGTTATTGACAAAGATGAAAATAAATAAATGTAATCTTTATTCTTAGGAAATGCAGTATGCTTATGAGAGGGCCAAATGAAGTAAAGATCTCAAAGGTTGCACGTATTTGCATAGAGTAAAGTAGAAGGGGCTGTGTTGTCATGTGTCTCATGACAGAGTAGGGATGATCTACTCACCCCTAGATGCTGTGCTAAGCCCTGAGTACCACGTTATGCCACTTAGTTTTAGGAAATCCTCATCCTTTGCAGTAGACCGTTATTGTCCATTTTGAATGATACACATTAGTAGCTTTGTTTGTATTTAATTTTAAAATTTGTTTTGGTTTTAGAATTTTATAGAAGTGATAAGTTTACTGAGATTTGTGTTGATATCCAATTAGTAGTGCTAGTATAAAGATCATTTGTGTCAACAACAGGGATTAGGGAATGCTTTCTTACTTTAAAGGGGATTAGTATATTACTTAATATTGACAAATATTTTTCTAACTTATCTCATTGTACTATAATCACTGTTTAATGAGTTCATTCCTCCCATTAGCCTGCGAGCTCCGGGAAGGCATATTCACATTTTCCTTGACTTTGAGCCTCCTTTATGTTTATTAAATAAATGAGTTGATTAAACATAATAAATAAAGAGACACCTGGGTGGTTCAGTGGTTACGCATGTCCCTTTGGCTCAGGGCATGACCCGGGGGTCCTAGGATTGAGTCCCACATAGGGCTCCCTGCATGGAGCCTGCTTCTCCTCCCTCTGCCGATGTCTCTGCCTCTCTCTGTGTGTCTCTAATGAATAAATAAATTCTTAAAAAATAAAATAACAAAATAAAAATAACAAGTAAGTAAATAAGTTGATTGACTACAATTGGAACTGTATAATACCTAAGGACTAAGCCAACACATAATGAGGTTTCTGTCATGGGAGACATTTAAGCATAAGCTACCATTTGAAGACTCCTAAATCCAGTGAGGCTTAATCTGTGTCCATCAACGTCCCTTTCAATTCTGAAATAGGGGGGAAGATCAGAGTTATTACTTCCTCCTCTGATTTTTTGGCAGAACAGAATGATTGCATTTGAGATCATTTTACCCCCCAAAATAAATTGTCTGAATAGTATTTATCATACCATCACGTTAAACTGCTGGGGTTTATTTATTTTCTCAAAATCTAAATCTTACCCTTAGTAGTTGGGTAGGTGATTTAGTTTGTCTCCCTCACAAAGATGTTGGAACTCTAAGAGTTATTTGGAAAATGGCTTCCTAGGAGTCCTGTTCCTCCCATGGTATGTGTGCCTGTGGATGTCTCAGTACGCATCACGAGAGATAGCTGTGTAAAATGAGAGGACTCATGCAGCGTCCAGAGGAGCCACTTTTGTCCAGAGGAAACAGATTTTTGGAGTTGTCAGGAGGGTGGAAACGTACAGACAGCAGCCAGCCATATCTCTTCATCAGTTGATTTTTTTTCTTCTTCTTTTTTTTTTTTCTCCCCTCTCAGCAGTTTAATGTGAGTGCTTCTCTCTCACCTCATTTATTTCAGATGCCTCAGGAACAGTACACACACCACCGGAGCACCATGCCCAGCTCTGAGGGGCCACAGGTATACAAGGTGGGCATTTATGGCTGGCGGAAAAGATGCCTGTATTTCTTTGTCCTACTCCTGATGATCTTAATACTGGTGAACTTGGCCATGACCATCTGGATTCTCAAAGTCATGAACTTCACAATTGTAAGTAAAAAGACACGTTTCTTTGGCTCTTCTTGGGGGAAGGGAAAGCATGGAGCAAAAAGGAATGGGAAAAGTGGTGGTAGTCGGTTTAAAAATCTCTTGCAGCCTGGCATTTGGTTAAAAAATATTTCTGTTCGGTTCCTTGTGGAGATCTTCCTCTGTCTAATCTTTACTCCTCAGTAGCTGGGTATCCAGTTTAGAGGCATTTCCTTCTTTTCCAGTCTCTTGTATGCTTTCCCTCCGTTTTGATAACCAGGTTTCTGTATCCTATAGTCTTTAAGCCCTTGGAGTATATTATGCAGGAAGACATAGGGGCCAAAATCAAAGTACCAAGTTTACCCAAATTTTGGTAGTGATTGTGAAAGGGTTTGTGAGGTAGAGGGTAGCAGTATCTGAGTAGAATGAAGTTTTGTGGATTATCTAAGAGTTTTAACTGTGTCTATATATGCCTGGTAACTAATTACTGTGGTCAACTGAGATTCTCCTTGATTTTTAGGAGGCCAATTTTCTTTACCACTGCCTGAGCAGGATAGAAATGAGAGGAGGGTGGCCACATCTCCTTTTTTTTTCAGAACCTGTGTTTATGCTTCTTTGAAGAAATTCTTGCTTTTCGTAGTTAGGGGCACTCTACACATTTACTTGTTAAAGTTTAAATGAAAAGAAAATCCTGGAAATAGGATTTCTGATATTATCCCAAGGTTTCCCCCCCTACCCCCCAGATTTCTTAGAGATTCTGGCAATATAAGCACCTTCACTCTCAGTGAATGTATGATGGGTAGTAATCTGCTGCCCTGAGATTCCTTTATTGTGATGTCAAAAGTAAATAATTAGCTTGGCAATAAAGACAAATCCCTTTTGATAAAGAAATGTGACCGTAATGCAACTAACTGTAAAGTTTTCATGTGAAAGTCCTCAGTAGGATAGCGGATTTTTGTCTTTTCCGGATTATAAAGTTCATTTTTATCTTTAACACACTCTGTGTAGTTGTACTTGTCTGCCTTTGCTGGGGCAGTGTTTTCTGCTTAGGCTGCTTTTCTCGATCTGCCTGGTATTCCTATAGCTGCCTGGGAAAACCGTTGATCCTCTTGTAGCTCCATTTATCTTTATCTTATTGTCCTCCTCAGCCTGGAGAGTAATTTTTTACCTGTTTTTCACAGACAAACTTGGAGAAGAATGCATCTTTTAAGAGCTTATGGCCCTGAGAGGTATACAGACTCCATCTGCTCTCAAGTCCAAGTGACCACAATTCCCATCTGTTGAGGTGCATGTTATCTGATGTGTTTATTTTTTAAAGATTGATTTATTTATTTGAGAGAGAGAGCACATACATGCACAAGTTGTGTGAGTGGCCGAGGGAGAGGGAGAGAGTGAATCTGTAAGCAGACTCCCTGCTGAGCACAGAGCCCTACATGGGGCTGGATCCTAGGACCCTGAGACATGACCTGAGCTGAAGTCAAGAGCTGACCACTTAACTGAATGAGCCACCCAGGTGCTCCTATGATGTTTTTTTTTTTTTTTAATGTTTCATGAACTTATAAAGTAGTAAAGCTTTTTGCAGTATTAAATGAGAAAAGACTGAAACTAGGGCAGTAGAATGGGGAATAAAGATAAAAAAGACATTTAAAAGATGATGTTGGCATACCTCAATGAAGATGTAGGAGATGAGGGATTGGAAGAGATTCTAGAACATTCCAAGGTTCTGGCTGGTGAGAGTTGGATAGTAGGGTACAAAAAGCAAAATAGAATTTATTACTTTCTCCCTTGGAACTTAGCTGGAATTCATGTGCCTTCGAGTGCTCTATTTGGGCTATTTCTATGATTTTTTACCTAATCTGGTGTGAAGTTTAATTTATAGAACCTGAAAGATTGGAGGTGAATATAATAGAGAATATGAACTCAAATCTTGAGTTCATACAAATCATACAAATATGACTTCTAGGAGTGTGTTTTATCTGGCAAGCTTAATAGTGAGAGGTATATGTAAATGTATATTGAGTGACAATTCACTTTGATTATATGTGAGCTTGGGGAGCAATATGACAGTAAGGTAATAATCTATTTGAAATAGGCTATTTCCTGTAGTTAACTAAATTGATCGCCAAAGTTAAGAGTTCTTAAAGCTTTACCAAACCAAGTACTTACTGAGGTGAGAATAATGCCATTATTAGCCATAATTGGTGCTTTATAATCATAATGCATTTGAGCAAATAGAGCTGAAGTGTCAGAAAATTGATCTTTCCCTGCAAGTTAAAAGCATATTTTTCCATCAATCACAGTATAAAATGTATTCTTTTAGAATTATAATTCTATTCCACAAATAGTAATTTACCGACAGTGAAGATCTTGAAAAAGAATAAGGTATTAACCAATTTTATATTGGAGTATGTTGGGTGAAAGAGCAAGGAAATCAATGGGATAACAGTTAAGCATTTTATGCAGGGATTTTAAAATATCAACAGACAAGAGTGATTTTTTTTTGTACATCTGGAATGTTCAATAATTTTCAATTTGGGAAAGTTCACAGTATAATCAAGCCCTCTGAGTAATAATGAACCAAGTGAATGATGTCATATAAAAGTATTTGGGAGGACTTGGCAATTTATCCAAGCCTGGATATCCAGAATTTTACTTTGTGGTCAGATTTGTATTCTGTGCCATCCCCAAGGATATATGCTGGAAGAGCCCTTCCATTAGAGCAATCTGGACAAACATCCAACCAAGCTTTCTTGGTCCCAGAGGTAAATCAAAAGACAAATGATTTTACTCTCCTGTGTTCTTCACAGAATATTCTGGTGTCTGTTATAAGGCAGGAGAGCAATATTATACTTTTATTCTCAATTTTACCCTACATGGGGGAATATGTGGTCTCCCTAAACTATGAACACCTATAATTCAGATTATCTTGGTTAATCACACATTGTGCTATTCAAGGGGATTACTATTTGCTAAGTGTTTATTCTGTTAGTTGATTTTATGAGTCACTGTGCTTGGCTCTTAAAATACAACTTATTTAATTTTCACAACAACTTTATAAATTAGACATTATCTCCATTTTAGTAAAGAGCACTCAGAAAAGTCAGCTAATAAGTAAAATAACTAGTGTTTGACTTCAAAACTCAACCCTTTTCACTACAGTGTAATCCTCTCCCCAATTGCTATAATGATCTGGCTCTTCAACAAAACTGTAGAGCTGCCACAATGGCCACTGTCTTTGTGGCTCTCATCTGGTCACAAATGTCTCTCCCATCTGAAATAGCCATTGAGATTTTCTGCATAGAGTAGTTGCCTGATTGTTCAGGATATTCAGTCCTCGTGTCATTTCTCTTTGCACTATGTGATGACCCTCTCCCTCCACTGTCTCAGCTTTCTGTTTGATCTCCATTTTGTATTCATGTAAACATTTAACATAAACTTAATAATTACTTCTGTGTCATAGGTTGACATGGAGATTCAGTGCGTTAATTTGTGTTGAGCATTTATGGTAGCCTCTGACCCATAGAAGACATGATACTGGCAACAGAAAATCATGAGACACCGAACACCATAGTGTGGTGTTTAAGGGTTCATACTCTGGAGATGGATGCTGTAGATACAGATCTGGCTTCTGCTACTTAATTTGTCAAGTTCCTCAGCCTCTCTTTTCTGTGGTTACCTGGGAGTAATAGAAATACCTACCTATTTATTGAATTGTGAAGAGTACATGAAGTGATGAATATAAACTAGAGTGGAGCTTGACATGTAGCAAGTTATGTTTGTGTTTGCTGTCATCATCGCCATCATAACTTTTTGAAGGCTTATTTTGTGCCACCAAATTTTAAGTATTATCTAACTTAATCCTTATGCAAGTAGGTAATATTATGGTACTAACTTTATAAGGCAAGGGAGAAGCTCAATAACTTGATTTGTGATCACATAGCTCTTAGGTGGCAGAGTACAGATTTGAATCCAAGCAGTCTGTCTCTAGAATCTGGTCTGTTAGTCACTGTGATACATTGTGGAGCAGCATAGAAAGTCCTAGCATTGGGGCAGAGTGAGGTGTTAGCTGGTGCAGTCAGTGGAGTGTGCAACTCTTGATCTCCAGGTTGCAAGTAGTTCAAGGCCCACGATGGGTGTTGAGCTTACTCAAAAACAAACAAACAAACAAACAAACAAACAAAAAATAGTCCTAACATGAATCATGTCAGAAACTGGCCATGAACTACATCACCTTTTTTCTTTGAGACTCATTATAAAAATGAATGCATTGAACTAGGTGTCTTTAAAACTATAAGGTATCTTCCTGTTGGAACACTATGGTATTATCTTTTGGTCTTTGCCTTCCCCATGTGTGATCTCACTCTGTGGAAGGCGGCTGCTCCTGCCAACACATTCTAGCAACACAGTCCAAATAATGTGGCCTCAAAGACCTCTCTAAATACTCCATATTGATCATCTACAATATCATTTAGCACAAGTGGTTATTAAGTGATAAAATTTTACAGGTTTGGGAATTATCAGTAGATGGCGTGATCTCTTAGCATAGTTGAGTATGAAATCATTCATTGTTAGACAAAAGAGAAGCTTAGGAGTCACCTCATCAGATCCCCTCATTTTGCAGATGATGGAATCAAAACGAATGGTGAGGTTGCCTGACCCAACTCTATTGCCCTAACCATGCCAGATACTTCTTAGGAACAGGGATTATGCTCTATTTATCTTTGTAGCTCTAACTCAGTGCCAGTACGCAGTAGGCTTCCAATATGTGCTTGTCGATTGTCAGTTGCCTTTGTGCAGATCACATGCATGAGATACTGGATGTCCAGTACCTGGTCAGTACAGGTCACATGAAAAGTCCTCAGTAAGTGATAGTTTTCTATACCTTGTTTAAGAGATAATCTAACTTCTGTTTCTCCATTCATTAAAATTATAAAATTCCAACCATTTGTGGTTACATAAGAAATGGACATCTATTTGTTTAATAAAAACTCAGAACTTAATGATTTCCCCATATAATCCTCATA